GTCATCCAACCAGCAATCCTCCAGCACTATCCAGAGCGTATTGAATCAAAGTAAACGATATCTTCTTCACTCCTTTGAGCTTCTTGCCAACGGCTGTGAATCTTTTCAGCCGATATCCCACTGAACCTCGTAGGACACGTCAGTCGCTGGACATTCGACGTAAAATCACGATTGCTTATTCCTTCATTTCTCCAAGCTCCCTCACTCAACCCACGCAAATGCCTCATGCTAGCCGATTCTCTGGAAATCTATGGGAGTCGGACTATGTTCTAGACGCGCTGAACACCTCCCAGAGTCGAACGACTCGAGACGCGATTGCAAAGCTCCGACAAACCCATGCTCCTCCAATCGACTTCCAGATCTCTAATCATGCGTCTCAAGCTCGCGATGCTATTCATGCCATGACATCCTTGGCTTACAACCTCAGATGGGGCGCGTCCAAATCAGCCGTGCTCCAGATCGGATCACATTGGAGGAATGTTGTGTCTCCGTGGATCGAATTTTTTTTAGCAGACGTTATTCTCGTCGAAGATTGGCCTCAAACCCCTGAAGGAGTAGACCTGCTTGAAAAAGCTCTTCGAATCATTCCCCTTCTCTTCAGCAGCTACCCCAACAGTGAGTTGGATAGGCTCGACAAGATACAGGAGATGACACCATTCTTGGTCCCATTGATGACTGAAGCGTGGATCAAGGTCGTTGCATATGAGCATCCCTCCCTTTTCTCTTGGTCGGTAGCGTTGGATACCCTCTCTTCGTCTCGTGATCTCGAAACGCCCGAGAGATACCAAACAATCTCAGCTAGCCCTCAGCTCGCAAAGCTTTGGATTCGGCACGTCGTTCGCGAGTCTTTTCATATCAAGAACGAACCGCTGATCGACCTGAAAACCTTCGCACTCTTTCTGGTCTTGCAAGGTAAAGACACCCTATTCGAAGGGGGTAAAGAAACACACATCAACAGCGTTGTGAAGAACAGCATCCCCGCTCATGTACGACTTCTTTCCGCGCTCTTGTCCAAGCGCAAATCCGTCAGAGATGCAGCTCTGGGTAGCGAAGAATGCTTCAATGCCCATGCTCTTGCGGTAGCAATCACAAATTACATTCGGTCGACGATGGAGAGGCTCCCTCAGATTGTGGAAGCAGTCAGAGCAGGGTTTATTAATGCTCTTCTCAAGTCGTATTCCATTTACTTCTGCTGCGACAGCGAACCGGAGAAATATCTCGATATCGACCATGGAAGCCAGACTGCCAACATTCTCGTCTATGTCACCAAGTTTATGGTGTACCCCTCAGTCTTGCATGCGTTTTTTCGGGTCACGGGAGGGATTAGGGATTCCGAGGATTTCGTGGAAGATTTGAGGGGGAAATTTTGTCAGTTGCCGTGCTATTGGAGTCATATGATGAACAAGGCGAAGAGTCTGCGAGCAACACGCGACCTATTTCGGAACTATGGACGCCTATACAGGTGCAGTCATCAAGACGTGAGTCAACACTCTTTTGTGTCACTTACTCTCGCACTAAACCTTGACCAACCAGTGCGAGGAATCGAAGAGTGCATCCAGATTTTTTCGCTGTGGTGGCTGCCGCGGCACAATTTACTGTTCGGCTACCTGCCAAAAGCTACACTGGGACCAGGAGCACAAAAAGGAATGTCAGGTAATAACGAAGTCCCTCGAAGGTACGAATTGTCAGCTATCTATACACTCACGTTCTGACAACAGTCATAGGGGGGAGAATCCTTTCCGACGAGGATAAGCACTTCTTCAAGGAACTCACTCAGTTCAACATACTCAGAACGATCCCGGGCCACATCAATGAAGCGGTGGAAAAGTATATGCCCTCCGTTACCGACACTCTGGACTTCTCAGAAGAACGCAACTCGATCGCGACGGGGCAGAGGAATCCTATAATCATAGTTGACTTTGGCCTAGTCGACCTCCCGTCTTCGTCCGAATGCATTGAATGTCTCGATCCAGGGGTGCTCGCGGAAGAGTACCAGTCTCGGCTAGGCTTGGAGCAGACAACCGCGCTTGTTGAGCGTTGGAGAGGCACTGATGCGGATGAAATACTCATCGTGTCGTTGTTTCCGAAGACGCAAACCCAGTCGTGGAGCTTCGATAAAACGTTCTCGTATCCGTTGGTGAATCCTATCCTCAAGCGATCCAGATCGGAGATCGATGAGGATGATAGTGACGAAGGGAGCTATCAGAGTGGCTCGGGAGAGGAGTCGGAGACAGACAAAGGTTGTAGACGGAAAATGTCGAAATCGAAGAGGATTGTTGTTTGTGATGCTGTTCAAGTCTCTGTGGCCTGAATGCGGATACCTCCTCACAGACGGACGTGTCATTTCTTGAGGAGGTCCTTGTGGCGAATGTCTGCTCTTGGGCCCAGAATTGTTTGCTTCTATTTCATATCTTTGTAGACTTTGAGGACAGGTGATGCAGTCAAAGTTTCTGAATGAAGATCTACGATGTTCGAATTACTTTCTGTGATCGCTATTTCAATGACGATCAAGCAATTAGATTTCTGATTGAGAGTCGAGATGGGACGATTCGCCCTCATTCTCATAGTTACTCCAAGAATGGTTTTGAATATGATTTGTCGTGACTTAGCACTTCACGTTCTGAGTCGACGAACTATCTTAACAGACGTATGCTGAGCGCTAAGTCCCAAGGTTGGCGAGCCCGTTTTGGCCTACTTCAAAATAAAAATGATTATACGCTAATTCTGTCCTTGCAAAGTGACGAGAGTGGGATTCGAACCCACGCCCCGGAGGACCAGATATCCAGTGCACCTCAGAAGGTGCTGGTCCTTAGTCTGGCGCCTTAGACCGCTCGGCCATCTCGCCATGATGCAGATTTGGTTTCGCCGATTCTGATCCTTCAACTCGGCATACCCCGAACTTCGAGGATGCGTACGGAATTTCCGTTGCCACATTATCAGCGAAAGTCATGCACAATAGAGTGCAGAGAGCTTGTCAAGACCCAGTCACTCCGTGGGATTCCGTTATGATCATATGGAAATTCTTCAAACCTCCCATTGGGATGCGGAAGAGGAAGAGAGAGTTCCTCGCTCGTTACTGTGCTATAGGATACGGGTAACGTAAGTAATACGGGCGACGAAAGTTATATGATACCTACTGTGACCAAAGGATGAACACATCAGATGGTCGCGTTGCGAAAAACCACCCGAGCCACTACCAACCAAAGCATCCGTCTCGATTCTAGACGATCAGTTGATGAAGGTTGAACTTACGTCGGATAGCTCCCGACTCACCGACATTCAAGTACATAAGGATCGAATTCTCTTTGGCAAAGGCTTACGTCTCACTCACCAATGTCCTCAATGAAAGCCGCCGAAGTCAGTGATACCTACAAAGCTTATGTAGAGGAGGAATACAAGCACGAGATTCTATTCCCAGTCATCGTCTCTTCGGTGAGTGTGATCTAGTCAGCGTCCTATGCTCCTGAGGTACCTGATCGACTATCCTGTCTAGGCTCATCTGTTCCTATATGGACTCAACGTCTTGTTATTCCGAGTCGGCCTTGTCGTCCTGAAAAAGCAGGAGCGAGAGATAAGAGGTGGCAATCATCGACTATTCCGAATTACTCTCGTCTCGCTCTTTGTTCTTTCTTCAGTGGGAGTGCCCATCAATCTTGTGTGGGATATTCTTAGGCTGAGGGCGTCGCTGTATAGAATCGCGAAGTTGGGGTGTGCGCTCGAAATGCGAGCCATCATTGGAGCTCTCGAGTATATTTTCCCGATTTCTGTTCTCAAGGCTTGTTCTCATCGTATGTGCAGCATCTGTCGGGTCGTGATTGTCTTGTTTATAAGGTAGGTCCCTAAATCTTCTGTACTCAGGCTCTCTATTGACCACGCAGCCGTGAGCTAGTTCCATCGTTGACATGATTTTGGTTAGTACCACTAGGAGACCTTGCCAAATTTCGAAGTTCCGAGTCTTATTCTCCATCGGATGACAGGTGTTTCGATGCTTTACCATTTGCGGGTGGCGAAAGAAAAAGTACGCCATAACCTTGATTGTGTGTTGCCTCATAGCGGACGGTACGTCCCCACCCATGATTAAAGGCCCATAGACAAAAGTCCGGTGACCGGTTTTTTTTTAGTCACGGCAACTATTTTCGCAATCTGGACTTATGAAATGAAGACGCATTTTCGACAGATTCATTCGGATGAGACAGCGCAAGTCCCGCTTCCCACCGGTAGTCTGTTTCGTCAAAATCTCGCCGTAGCCTGTGTCTGCCTTCACCTTCTGGTAAATCTGGTATTGACGATCATCATCGGTAGGTACAATGAGGTTGAAACTTAACCAAAGCCAAGCTCGACTAATACCTATGACATATATCATTTTGTAGCCTTCAAGATCTTGCGATCCGGGATTGCCAAACCTACAAACAGGTTCCGCACCGTTGTAACACTCCTGTGAGTATTCGCAATATAATTACACGTTCTCATACACAACGTGAATCTGATCTTATAGCTCGTTTCAGGGTGGAATCCTGCGCGCTCTATATTGCGGCATGGATGCTGTTCCTTACGTGCGGGCTATTGGAAGAGGATCCGGAGTTGACATCAATTCTCATTCAAGTTGCGGTATATCTCCAAGTCCATTGCTGAGACTCTTTTGTGCTCGAGCCTGACAAACGTTTGGCAGGGACTCGCCCCTACCCTCCTCATCGTCAGGGCAAACATAAGCAAGGAGAAACAGGAAGAGGGCGTTGCTTTCAATGTCCGTAGCTCCACGGTGGTCCCGGATCTACCGGTTGAAGAGGAGATCATTCTTGAAATATCGAGGAATTTGTCGAATGGGTCGAGGGTTTAACTTGGTGGCGTTGCTAGCATAAAGCTATTCGAGAGTCATAAGCTCAGACAAGTATAGATGTTCATTGGTAATCTCTAGATCGAAAATTTTGTGATGCGATTAATGACTGGCTGGAAGTAGCTGTGGTACGAGAGACATACAAAAACGAAGATTCGAGATATAGTGACGAGAGTGGGATTCGAACCCACGCCCCGGAGGACCAGATATCTTTGCACACCTAGTGTGCTGATCCCTAGTCTGGCGCCTCAGACCGCTCGGCCATCTCGCCATATCGACACAGCAATGCTCTCATTGGGTCTGCCAGCGTTCAAGTCACAATTAAATCACCTCGTACAAGGTTAAAGAGACTCGGGAGCACAGCTTAGTACGTGATAACTAGACACTACAAGCAAGACCTAGCTATCATAATCAGTCGATCGAAGCTCGAATCGCGGCCTCCCCTTGTCCTGCGACTCCTCATTACCGACTTCGAACTCGCGTCAATTTAGAGCCCGGAGCAAGCTCTTCGAGTCGGTTGGAGTCCTCGGCTCCCGCCTCATCGCCGTGATGAGTAGAGCATAAAGAGCTAATACTACCCTCATCTGGTGGCGTTATACTGTAATTCCATTCCCAATCATCGCTATCAGAGTCTGAAACTTCCTCCTCTGCTGTGTGGTACGAGTCTGAATCCGACTCGGAGTGCGACCCCGTCGATATAGAAGACTTCGCAGAGTGAGCATAATGTCCAGGAAAGCGTAGATCCAAGCTAGAGCGTCGGCTACGGTCTCCTTCGAGTCCATCCGCGACACCCCCGGCAGGGCTTTCCCATGAGCTGGGGTCGAAGTGGTTCGAGTGGCCTGAGGAGGTAGGGCGTGGGGCCCTTATATGTAGATCAGGCGAGTTCACGGCAGGTTCCAGAAGCTGAACATCGAGGGATCCTGAGGGAGATATAGTTGGTCCGTGCTCTGTTAATTGTACAATGTCGGACTCGACTCGGAGCTGGGGGTCTTCCGATACTAGCAGCAGTGGCGCTTCAATCGATAGGGATCCTGGGGTGCTTTTCGATGAGTCCGTAGTAACCGTTGCCCGAGATTCGGGTAGAGGGTTCAGGTCTGATAATAATACGGTCTGGGGTATACTGGTGTGGAGATGGTCTTCAAAGCGTACAGTCGTTTGACCCATGTCATAGAGCCTCTGATAATATAAGTCATAAGGCTGGACGAGCGTAAGCGGAGCAGATGCAGCCGGGTGTGATATACGGTAGAACTCTGAAGACAATGTGCTTGGATCATCTGGTTGGACGAATGTGACTGGGGTAGAACGTATCGCATGGGACATGAGGTCTCGGTGAGGCATCATATCTGATCCCGAAGACTCTATGTTTGGATCCGAGCGAAACAGGGCAAATGGGGCGTAATGATCGATACCTGTCGCGCTGGGTCTAATGGGTCTACCGTCTCTATTGAGCCGTTCTGCAGGTAGAAGGCCTGCAGCAGATTGTGCGTATCTGCTGGATATTACTAGAGAGAAATGTTCGGGCCATGTCCGAGCAACACCAAGCAAGGAGTTGTTGAGAGGGAGCCAAGTTACGTGCTTACGGTATGAACGACGGAGCAAAGATTGGCGGGGTGCTTGGTTGACAGTAATGTCATAAATGGAATATGGGGCCTCTGCGAGCTTGAGATAGAATGCCAAGAGTAGCCAACCACAATCAGCAAGGGCAGCCGTCGCTCGAGATTTAAGTTTGCTCTGAGGGTTCATTTTAACATGGCTTCGGGCTAGGGTAAATAAAGTTCGGAGTGGAACACTTACCCGCATGTCGTGGTCTCCAATTGCTCGGATGGCTTTTAGAGCGACACTAAGCTCGCCGAGAAGGCTCAGGCACTCAATCCATTTTAGGATACAGAACTCGACGAAAAAATCCAGAGAACGTTCGAACCGCTGAGCTCTATCACCATTGATAACCGCACTGCACATATGTTGCCACCAAAAACAGCATGCATAGCGCAGATGACCTGGAATGTGCTGGTTGCGGAGGGCATCTGGTTGATGAGTCTGGGAACCGTGATGAAGTTGCTGAATCTGGCAAATGTCGTGTGTGAGTTCCCGAGACATAACATCCAAGCACATCACCGCCATATCACCGTGCTTCTGCGTAGGGTTGATATAGAAGGATGCAGAACGCCCTGAGTCGGTCAAGAATTCGTGTATAGACTTGTGATAGAGCTTGATTGGCTGTGTTCTCCGTGCCCTCCCATCGTCCGAAGCCCGTGGCACTAATAAGATGGAGTGGAGCTGGCTGGTGATACTGAGAAGTACATCGCCTTTGAGCTCTCCGCCGGGACGAGTGACGAGTGCCACGAGATCCGGTTCAGCGAGGGGTTTGAGGAGTACTATAAGGATGCCAAGAACATTGCGCAGAAGGTCGGGGGATGATTTTACAGCAGAAAGGATGTCCATATATAGTTGGTCTAAAGGCCTATATGGATTGTCCGAGTTGCGATCTTCTGATGAAGTGTTAGAGGGTATAACTCTGGATGATTGCGAACGGAGCGTTAATAACCGTTCCAGGCGCTGTATTGGACTGTCGCCTTCGTGAGAGACGTACTGCACAATGTTGGAAGCATAAGCGAATAGACCATCGCTTTCGACGACCAGTTGGTCCAGAATAGGTCGCTCTGGCCACTCCTGCCTCTGCTCGTCCCTGAGCGCACGGAAAATTGCCATGTTTTTGTCCCTGATGGTCGCAAAGGAATGGCTCAAGTAGAGCTCCACGTCTCGTGTTGAGTCGTAATCGCGAAGAGATACTCCCGTCGTGACGGTAAGAATCACAGGCATACCGAATAAACCCTGAAGTTGACTTTCGGGACGACTGGTGACGAGAAATCGAAACAGGTTCTTATGAGTGGTGAGAGCATCGGCGATGGCTATCAACACGGAGGAAGGGTCATCACACTCGTCCAGGGCGTCAATCACAAAGAGCGGTGTCTGAGGACGCTCCCCTTCGGCACGCAAGTGCCTGTTGTACGCCAGAATTGGCTCGATGACGAGTTTGGCGAATTGCTCCGTCGGTCTAGCATGGGGGATGGACGAGTCTTCCTGAAGCGCACCAAGAATGCACCTCTTCAGAGTTGGATGGTATTGCGTTAGCTGATAGGCCAAGGTAGCAAAGATTGTCCCGTTCTGACGACGGTCATCTTGGCCTCTCGAAAAGAAGAAACTACCGGCTAGTTTCACCGGCCCGTTGCTTTCGAAAGTCGAGAAATGTTCTGCAATAGTCTGAGCGATGGCGGACTTCCCTTCGCCCGCTAATCCATTCAGCCAAAGGATCCCTGTGGAATCCGAGGGTGGGCTACGAGCCCATCTTATAATTCTACTGATAACCTCAGTCCGGGTTTCTGGAGCACAGCGAGGTACCGTAAGGTGCCTCCCTCCAGAGTTGAATGCAGCGTTCATGGAACAAAAGCCTCGGAGATACTGGTCGACTGGAAGAAAGAGAACCTTTAATCATCAGATTTCCAAACAAATAGCTAGGCGGAACTCACGAAAGACATCGACGGCATTGCTTGAATGCTGCGAATTCACAACATCTCCGCCAACGTTTGAAAACAATCCTCCGAGAATTGTGAATTGGGATGCACCACGGAACATCGAATGTTTTAAAGGTTGGGGTGGGGGCGGAGGAGCGTGCTGCGAAGTAGGATTGGGCCACGGCATTATAGGTCCAGCGGCTCTGGGCCAGGAGGTGTGTAGATGCGGACGATGATGCGAAGGATAAGGGTTCCTTGGGCCAGCTACATCGTGAGGGGGAGGCCATTGTCTCCCTTGTCCAATAGAAGGGATGTAATGCGACGGGGACACAAAATACTCCTGCTTCCCTTCGAAAGTCGGCTGCATGGGAGGATTTCGCAAACTCGGCGATGCCGATAGCGATGGCGGTATGAAGGGTTGTTCGTCGTCTTGATCTTCATGAAAAACAAAAGCTGGTTGAGATCTGGGAGGGGGCGGGTCCGATCGATATGGATATGTGTAGCTGTTGTAGTATGGGTGCATGGAGGTAAGAAAAATACCGTCAGGAAGTTCACCAAGGACCTCGTGTTGTGATTCTTCCCAAGAAACTGTTTGATATGCCCAATGCTAGCGCTCACCCCCGGTTCAGAGTTCGGAGTTGAATATAGCATTTACATAATTGAGCACCGCCGAAGGTCTTCTTCGCCAGATCCTGCTATTGTTTTAAGTTATGTATATTCGCCATTGTGCATCGCACGGGTTGTTGGTACTTTACCGTACAAAAGTAGAATAGAGGAGGTCAGAGTATGTGTTTGGGTCGATTCTGTCTAGAATTGTGGGAACAGCCAGAATCGACGATTCTGCAGTTTCGAGTCCGGACTCCAAACTCGCGTCAGAATCGACATCAATTCTGTCAAGGTCGATTCTCTGGGTCAAATCAACGCAAATTTGATTGTTACGTACTGATTGCCTCCGGAATCAAAATGCGGGTGGTCAGATTAGAAGTCGATTCTAGTCGAAACTTATCGGGTCCTTGAAATTCAGAATTGACCTCAGAATCGACCCGAGAATTGACCTGATTCTGCACTCTGACCTCCTCTTATGATTGCTCCTCTTTTGACCCTTTTGGCATGATCGGAGTGAACTCGTCTGGAGGTCGTGTACGGTGTGAGTCACTGTTATTCTCGTGAAACCAGACTGACGATATTATTGCATTGAGTTCCAATCGAAGTCGCCAGGTTGATATGTAAGGTCTTGTGAACTCGAATAGAAAAAGCTCGTGCAGCCCTCTCAAGGTCAGTAGACCACAGGTGCCACCATACCGGCAGTACGAGTGCCCGCAATGCAGCGCAATCTGAAAATCAGCTTGCTCACGCAGTTATGCGATACCCAGAATCAAGGGCCACCATAGTTCTCCATAAGCCCGTGCAAGCAACCAAAAGGAGAGCTTGGAAGAGATTGTGCCAGTGACCGTACTGGTGAATGCAAAAAGCTGACATGAAGTCAAAGTGACGAGAGTGGGATTCGAACCCACGCCCCGGAGGACCAGATATGTTGCACACCGAGTGTGCTGGTCCTTAGTCTGGCGCCTTAGACCGCTCGGCCATCTCGCCATGTTGATACGGCAACGCTATAACATTAGTTCAACGTCCAAGACAAATTAACGATAACAAGGTCGTTTTATCTTACACCTCAAAACACTTTTCAAAATCTCCATCCCCGCCCCTCACGGAGTACCCCTGACTCTCTATAAACCTTCCCAACTCGCACATACCCGAT